AACCCAAACCCAAACCCAAACCCAAACCCAATGCATTTCTTTAATTTGACCCTGTAATTGATGCAGAGTTTTAGAAGAAAGAAGGAATATGATAATTATAATAAACATTTAAACATTTTGAAAACTATCCAGTAGCTAATTTATTAAATTCTTCACAAATAAAGCAAAGTTTGGAGAAAATTTTCTAAAGTAAATAAAATACTTCAAATTTCGTTGGATTTTCCAAATCGTCTTATTTCCTTATGTTTTATAAGTTTTTTTCCATAAGAATATGAAGTGTTTCCTTTTTATTGTAATTTTGTTCTACTTGTTTATAGATGAATTTTTTTGTAAAAATTGTTTGTTATCGAATTTTAGTTAGAATTATTAAACTTGTAATGCTGAATTTATAAAATATAAACTATTATTTAGTATTTCTACTTATTCCTGCATGTTTTTACAAAAATAAAATTGACTTAAAATTGTTAAAAAAAAAGTCTATTTTCTAATTTCAATAGAAAAAGTTGTCTAAATTCAACAAAATTTGATAAAAATTGTTACAAAAAGCTCATTATCATAGTATTTTTAAAATGGGCGTAAGGGATTTTCAAACAAGGATAAAATCCCATTCCCCTATTCAAAACACGGATAGGATTTGGGGACTGACAAAATTCAGCTTTTTTCCATGGCCCCGACCATATTACTGGCGTCCTAGGGTCAGTAATATTGCCAGTCCTGGCCAACCCCTAATATATACATTTTTTTAACTTATTTTTCAGCAACATTAGAAAAGTCTAGGATTAATTCAAAGTTGTAAGTTTAAATTTTATAACCTGAGATAATACTTTCATTGTATTTATATAACTATAATATTAAAATTAATCATACAATATTATGCATTACTATATAATAAATACTTTAAATTTATTATTTACTAACAAATTTGAAGTTATAGTGAGAATTCCATTTCTTTATAATATAATTAATGAAATAAGTTAAATATTCTATTTAGTAAAGGTAAAGGTAGACTCAAAAATATTTTTTTAATCTCTAAATCAATCCATTCATTAAAATTTATAATTAACAATCATTAATACTTATTTCATATTTATTTTTTCCACTTAATATTTAAGTTATTTTATTCAGCTTAATCTTATAAATTTATTGTTTGAATTTCAATAATTTATAATAAGAGTCTAATCCAATATTTTTCACAATAATTAGGAGATTCCTAAAATTTTCTAAATTTGATATCAAATATTAATATTCTATAAAAAGTACAATCATGATTGTCAAATTAGAATTTGGTTGTAATTGAATACTAATGATATATCCAATAAATGAATTCAATTATTTTTTTAATAGTAAGATCATTATTTATTATTTTAAGTTTAAAAACTTATAGATTTAGATTAAATTTAATAAAATATTTAAAAAAGAAAAGATAAGTATAAACTTAGATATTAATTTTTGGTTTAATAGTTTGTTTATGTATTTTTTAAAAGAAGAATTAAGATGAAACTTCATATATCAGTATTTATATTGAGATAATTATGTATAATTTAGTTGCTAAAAATTTTAAAGTATAAATGTTTGAATTAAATTAATGTTCTTCCTTTAAAAAAACTGGTTTTTATTCTTTAAAAGAATTCTTAAGATTTATTTTAGTTAAGACTTAAGAGAAAAACGATAAACAGTAATTATACCTATAATTAATCAATAATTTAGAAAAAAATTATTCATAATTTTCAAATAATCTTCAGATATTTGGGCTTAAGCATTTTTTTAACAAACTATACCTAGGTCTTAAAGAACTTGCTTATTCATCATAAATTCTACTTGATATACATTTTTCTGTTTATGGACTATAAGAACTATTTTGATTGATTTTATAGTCTAAAGAATCCTAAATAGTTGGCAATTTTAGATTTCTTTAAAAATTAGTGATTAATTAATGGTCTTTTTACGAATTTCTAGGAGCAAATCTAGAAGTACGTCTAAAATCATTATTAATTTAATGAGGAACACCCTAAATTTTGGATGTACGTCTAGTATTTGTAAGGTTGAATACATCCAAATTTAAAATATCTGAACATTTTATAGAATCCATTTAAATTCTGCCTTTTTAAGTGAAGAATATTTAAAAAAACTATAACAAAGAAGGTTTTAATTCTAAAAATTCTAAATCACCCATATTTTCATAATTTTTCATTAATAATTCATCTAACATTTGAGTTTCTTAATATTATTTCTTTGAGAAGATACTGTAAATTACGATGCCTAAAGCTAAAATATCCTTTTTTCTAAAATATTGAGTGACTGTAGTTTAATCAGAGCAATTCAGATTTTTAGAGCTGAAAAGTTTTTATGATATGATTTCTGATTTTCCAAAGTTGATTATACAGGCAGAAGTTAAATCTTATTAATCTTTTAGAAGAATATTATCAAATTTAATGTCTTAATGAAATATATTCCTTTCATGTAGATAATTTAGAGATTAAAATAAGGTTTCCATCAATATTATAGTTTCTTGTTCAGAAAATCGAAACTTAAATAATGAATTTTTCAAATTTCCTCCCTCCAACAATTCTGAAACGATATAAATGTTATCATCACATTCAAATATTTCATGTAGTTTAAGTAAATTATTGTGATTGATTTATCGAAGAACTGCTATCTCATTAATTAGATATTATCTTTCACTAGCATTGTTTCTTTACACTAAGCTCTTATCTATAATTTTTACAGCTACTTTTTATCCATTTATGATTTTAAAAGCCTTAAAAACCTAAAATCATTTTAATATATACTGATGAGCTATATCCTTCCCCTAACTTTTAGCCTAATTTGTATTTTAACTAGAAGTCAGTTTGGATTACAAATTTTTTTATTATTTTCCACAATTCCATTATTTCCCCAAAAAACTCTATAAACTGTCCATTTTTACTTAATCTTAACCCTAATTACTATGTTTTTTAGTGTAGGGTCTTTTTAACACAGATATTCTCTAGGTTGATATGTCTTTCACCTTTCTTTTATATATAAAATCAATACTTCCTCGACTATTTTCATTATGAATTCATGTAAAAATATAGTCACAGGTTGTTGACGATTATTATATTTCATAATAAAAGCTCCAAATTGTGTAAACTCCATTGAAAGATGTGGAGAATTACAAAAAATCTGCTTTCCATCATTAAAGAAAGATGATTTAGAATAATCAGATTGTAAAGTTGTAGTTTTTTTCATTAAGAATTAAAGAATGATAATATTTTCTTTGAATAATTAACATTTCAAATGGTATTCTTTCAACAGATTGAAATGATATTTCATGATATTTTTTTCTCAATATTCAGATATATTGAAAATTTCAGAATATTTATTCATATCTGAATTTTCTTATTTAAAAAAATTGTGTACCAACATTACCTTGAAACAGAATTATGTTAATAAATTTAGATAGCTTTAATAAAAGGGATTTTTGATTAGTCCTACTAAGAATATCTTATATCCTTTGAGTTAAAAATTTTGTGTGAAATTTATAAAATACGTCTTTATTTGATTATATAATCAATCGAAATTCTTCAATAATACTGAATAAAAATTGTATAAAAAATAGTAATAATAATTTTTCTAAAAGAAAAAAAATGAAATCATTTGTGGTTTCTCTTTAATAATTGGCCTAATTACTTTTGATCAAGGATGCTAAATTTTATTTTAGAATCAGTATTTTTAAATTTTACATTTTTAGTATGTTTAGATGTTTATTAATCCTTTTTTTTAAGAATACTTCTATTAGCATTTATTGAATTTTCATATGATGAGTTAACATTATTAGAATCTAAATCAAGAGAGGAATCTAGAATCTAATTGATATTATTTAAATATTTCTCATTTTACTAAATAGAGTTCATAGGTAATTCTTAATTTGTTTAATTTGGAGTAGAATCAGTTTGAAATTCTTTTCTTTATTATTACTCTTCGTTAGTGTATACTTAAAAATGAGTTATGAATTTTGTGTTAATTTAGTATTAAGGAGCATATTTAGGACCAAAATACTCAGCATAGATTTGTTCGGAATAATTTTCTGATAGACTGTCAGCTTACTTTTTACAACAATTTGCACTCTATCCCATTAAAAATATTTAATTAGATATTTCAAGGAATTAATAAATAAATAATTTTGTTTTACAGGCATTTTACCTTTTCATGTAATACATTTAGAAAATTTCCTAATTTTAATAATACCAAAGGTATTTATGATAACTTTGATTTTACTTGAAGTAGAAGAACTATTTATAAATTAAATTATAAGAAATCTTTTAAAAGAGTTGATATTATCACTTTTTTATGACTGTTACCTGTAATTACAAAAATTTTATGATTCACCACTAAAATTTAAATTGTGATTTATAACATTACCAAATTTACAACAGCATTAATTGATACACTTTCTAAACTAATCTGAATTAATTCATATTAAAAAATAAAAAAAAAAGATTCTTTACTTAGATGAAGGAAAAATTGAAAAATGGAGAAATTATGTTTTAATTATAATTTCTTTTTATATAAATTAAAAAGTGAGTAATAATTTATTTAATATTTAAATATGTTATTTAGAAGGAATCATTAAAGTACTTTAGATGATCTAAAACCTAAATTGTAAATTAATAGCATAAAATATAGTATTTATTCAATAGTATTATTAGATAAGGGAAATCATGAGATTACATATTAATAATGGTTCAAAAAAAATATTAGAATAAATAATTGAATAGCTTGAAAGAGCTATGTGTATGAAATATACTTAAATAACAATTGATGAATTAAGAATTAATTGGATTATACTAATCATACTCTTGCACAAATTTAAAATTACAGTAAAGATAGATTTATAAAGCAAATTAATTAAATTAACAACCTTGATTAAATATATCAGGATAGTAGTAAATATCAAAATATAGAAAATTCATCATTAAGTTGAGAGTATGATATATTTATATGATTAATATTGGGATTTTTAAATGAGGTTTAGATATTGTATAGGATTATTGTAAAAGAAATGATATCTCAAAAAGCAGAATTTAATTTAATAAGAATTAGCCCAAAATTAGTAAATCAGAGTGAATGTAGAATGATGAAATATATAAATAAAAAGATTTATTAAAGTATAAGAATAAAATTTATTAAATTCTTCATATTTAATTTGGATATTAGTGTCATTGATAATCTTGATTATGATTGTAAATAACAAATTTCTCTCTATTATGTAATTCAACATTATTCAATCATTATTGAATCCTAAAATGTCCATATTTTTCCTATTATTAGTATTTTATAATTAGAATTTTATATTAAATATTTCTATTAATTAATCAACGTAATTATTTTTAGAATTTTGATTTGAATAAAATTTATTGTATGTAATCATAACATATGTAGAATGCTTCTACTGGATATCTCCTTTAAAAAACTATATTAATAAACTCTATACACTTTCCGATAGTGTTTGTTAATAAAGAAAGATTTTGATTCCAAAAAAAATTTACTTAGTCAAAGAATGATTAGACGAAGACCTTATTAGGGAAAAATAGAACTACAAATCCTTATAAAATGAAACAAATAAACTAAAAGCTAGATTATAATTCTATGAAAAGGATTTAGTTATATAAGGTGAGGTGGATTATAAAAGGGAATTAAAATAAGCACTAATAAGATTGAAAAATAAAGAAGAAGAAGTGTTTGAATTGATGCAAAATACTAACTATAAAACAATAATAGAGATGAAGAGAACAATATCATCATTAAAATAAGAATTGGAGAAGTATCATGTTTATTAGAATTTTTCAGGAAGTACGAAGTCAATAATTAATGATAATATAGAATTATTCCAAAAATTACAATAATCCATTAAATCAATCAAGGAATTAGAAAAAATAAAAGTAGAGTATTTCTCAATAGCTAGAAAACATTAACAGTTGTAACTTGTTTTATAAGCAAAAGATTAGTAATTATAGAAATTTAGAGGAAGAGACCATCTAAGTGATATGAATATAAAGCATGCTCAAAAAATGAATCTTAATTGAGAGAAGAATTATTAATTAAGGATGAAGAAATATCCCATCTTAAAACTCAATTGGCTATCGCTCGAAAAACCAATATAGAAGATAAAGCCATCATCGATTAAACGTAATAAGAACTTAAATAAAAAATTAATCATCATGAGTATAAAGGTAGATTTATAAAGAGAGGATTGATCATTTGCAAAAAGAAAGTTAATAGTTAGCTGAAAAAGCAAGAAATTTTGATAGATATTTGATTGTAAATCAAAAGAGAAAAATGACATGGGTTGAAGACCAGCAATCAAATTCTTAATATACTTAAGGTTAAGATGAAGATTAATTGGTGAAAAGAAAACCAAGTCGAAGATATTGTTTTTGAACTAAAATTAAGTTTAAGAAAAAACAATATTTCCGATATTTAAGATAAGTATCGTCTCATTTCCATTATTAGAGAGTTTGAGTATAATCCAGAGTAAAAATCTCCAGTACCCCATGTTCGAAGTGTTTTTAGAACATTGCTGTAACATTACTAATTAAACTTTGATGATTACATTCTATAAACAGTCGCTAAGGCCTGCTTTTAAGTATTTGAATTCTGTTCGAGAAAAAATATTCATAAGCTAAATTAATAAGAACTTTTGGAAAGTGTCTCGTAATTAGATTTATAATGGAACTCAAAATGCTTTGATTGTTTTCAACAATTATATTATAATAAATATAAAGGTTTCCTATAATTTGAAGTTCAGAATGTAAAAAAATTGTTTGAATAATTTTAAATATAATGAATCATTAAATTCTCTAATATAAATTGTAAATTTAATTTAAACATAAATTTAACACTAAAATTATTAATATTAATAAATAGGAAAACTTTAATTTATTTTAAATTTTGACTTTCAAGCTAATTTTTGATTTGATGGCTTAGAATAATATAAAATTAAGATATTTAATTCAAACTTATATTTTATTGTTTTAATTTTGGTTGAGTCAATCATAAAGTGAAATATATTGAAATCTTTTTGATTTTTTGTTTAAATATATTTGCTATATATTCCTTCATTGCTGCCATCAATATTTAACATTAAATTGAAGGACAATCCAAAGGTTATTCTATAAATTAACATCATGATAATTTATGAAATTTAAATATTTTTCATTATTTTATAAAGCTAACAATTACTAAAAAATTGGAATTATTTTTGATATAGGAATTGATTATCTGAAAACAATTATATATTCAACTTTTAAATTTATGAAGTTTTAAAAAGAGTTTCTATCAAATATCATAATTTATAAATATAAAAAATAAATTTTGTAAAAAAATTTAAATTGACTTATCAATTTTTAAAAATGGACTTTTTCATTTAATATCTACTTTTCTTTATTTCATCATTCAAAGGACTCACTTGATTTTAAGAAATTCTATTTGACTTTGATGTAAATGAGGATTATTTTCTAAATTAACTCACTTCTGGACTAAAACTATTGCATTATGCACGAATACGAAAATCTGAATTTTACCTTTATAATTTAGTTATTTGAGGAGATTGTGGACTTAAAGGACTTGCATCCTGAGAGAGTGCTTATTAATTATAGGATTTCATCTATCCTCTCTATGAACTGTTTTTTTCTGTTAATTACTTTAACTTTTAACTTGCTTTAAATTCCATAACTTCTGACAATCTCTCTTTTTTAAACCATTGATGGTTTAAAGCTAATTAAGAACTTATTCTTTCATTAGGATTTTCATTTAAAATGCTTCTTATAAAATTAACACCTTCATCACTTAAATACAACTTAGAATAATCAATATGACATTCTAAATTGGACTCTATTACACATTATAAATTAGGTCCTTAAAAAGGAATTTTTCCGCATAAGGAGTAATACATAACGATTCCTGCACTAAAAACATCTGCCTTTTGATCATAATATTCATTTCTTAATATTTCAGGGGCTGTATAACCAGGTGTGCCAAATCTTTGCATTAAATATTCAGGAGTTTATTATTCATTATCTGAATCTGCTGAACCAATATTCTATTATACTATCTCAGCCAATCCATAAGAACTTAAACAGGGATTCTCTAAACTTCCATTTAATCCAAGCCAAATATTTTCTGGTTTAATATCTCTATGCATTATATTTTTTGAATGAAGATAAGCCAACCCTTTGAAAATCTTAAACATTAATTTCTGAGCCTTCTCTTCAGAAAGTGTAGGAAATTTTTAAATATAATTACTCAATGTTCCTCCTAGAGTCAATTCAGTAATTACAATGATCTATTCGGGGCTCTCAAATACCTCATAAAACTGTTGCAAATATTCATAGTTTATTCTTCTTTAAATATAAATTTATTTTTCCAATTATGCTTCAATTTATGATGTGAGTTAATTTTTCTAGTAAATAGAACACTAATAATCACGAGATCCATTTCTTCTTTAAATTCTATATGTCTAATGTAGTAAAAAATAGTACTTCTTATGAAATTTATTTTATCACTTCAAATTGTTTTAAGAAATCTAATTGAATTGTAAATCTCCTTATAATAGGGAATAAAGAGGCAACTTCCCCGAAAATAATTATTTCATCAAAGCATTTTGTTAATTTTATCCCTTCTCCATATTCTTCGTTTTGTAGGCTCTCAAGTATTGAATTTTCGTAATCTAGCCAGCAATTATCACCCTGAATAAATTTATTTTAATACATTTCTTTTAGTTGTTTTCATTATATTTTACCAAACCATCAATTATTTCTTCTTTGGTAAATTATGTTTACCTATTAACATAACTTCAATTTGTAAATCAAATTCTCCTTAAACTTTTGGGATTTTCCTTCTGCTCCATTCCATTCTGACAAATTTTCTTTAAAAAAAACTTTTTCTATGAGAAGCCTCATATTCTATTTTGTTTTAAATCTAATCAATATTTTTTTTTGGATATCTTTTCATATAAATTATATTTAATTTTAAATAATTTTTGTTTGATATCGACCATTAATAATGAAAATAATTATATGATTTATTCAATTTTATTTAATTAATAATAAAGAAAGTCCATCATTTTTATAGTTAACCCGTTCATAAGAAATGTTTTTAAAATAGATTTCAATATTTTAAAAACTTAGAATTTTGATTTACTTTTTTACTTTTGAATTTCATTTGATTAAAATAATTTCGTGATTATTTTTCCTTCAAATCAATTAATGGTCATTTTTTAATAAAACGAAAAAATTTTGTTTATGTAGATGATAAATTAAAAATTTATTTAACATATATATTTAATCTATAGGTTGTTTATCAGAAAAATAACATGATTAATTTCTATAAACTAAATAAGATCAAGCTAATAAATTTATCTGAATTATTGGTTAAGGCCATATTATAAATTTAGATATCAATTTTGTATACCTTCTAATAATAGCAACATATTTAATAGAAATTATTGGTTTGTTGCTTTAAATCATCTTTTCCAGTTTAAAAAATTCTGGAATATGATCTAACTTCAAGACCTTTGGTTCAAAAATAAAAAGTCGCTTCAAAAATTCAACCTTAACATGTTATTTAAGATATTGAACGATAATCTTTTTAATAGAAACGATTGAAAATAATATGAATAATATTTTATTAATAATAATTTTTATTTTCTGAATATAGATGTTTTTTTATTTCTAAAAATTATATTCTTTAGATAAACTACTTTTATTTTTTTTTGAGTTATGAAGCCTTTTATAAATTTAATACTCTTTTTTAATTTTTCACAACATACCATCAAAGAAAACAAAAATAATCACTGCAGTTCCCAATAGTTTGAATGATAGAATTGAATAAGTTTTCTGATATTAAGGTATATGATACAATTACTTTCTTAATTTTCAAATAATAAAAAGGTGAAGAACTTTGAATTCTCAAATAATTATATTTGCTATTGGTTTAATATAAATAGAAATATATCAGTATCTGATAACTTTATGGGATATTCTTAAATGCGAATTCAGAAATTAAATAAAAATATAAAATGCTTGAAGTTTGTGGATAAGTAACTTAAGTATAACTGAAGGAGAATTATTTGTTTAAAGGCAAAATTGAAATAACTTTGAGTGGATTTGATATATAAATTGATAAACTACTTATATCTTCAAATGAATAATTTTTGGCTCTAATTCTCTCAAGAGGATACAATAATGTTGAAGAAATGCATAAGCTTTTTATTATATATGATTTAAATACTACAAAATAAATATCACTAGGATCATGGACAAGTTTTGGTGCATTAAATTAAAGAATTTAACATGAGTTTGATGGCCATTCAAAATTTTTTATATAAATTTAACAAGACATGGTTAGTATAGTTAATCTCTAACAGAAAACTTTGAAAAATTTCTTAGTTGTTGGTGTTTAGAAATTTTTAGATATTGATGATGATAATTAAATATATTTATAGTTATTTTAGGATGGATGTTTATGTGTAATTAAATATTCAATCAATTAAGAATAGATAATGTCTTACTTTGCATTTGGAAATAATATTAACAGCTTGAAAATTATGCAAAATTTTATTTTGATGTAGGAAATGATTTTGGACAGTTTTTATCTTTGTTTATATCTAAAGAAAAATAAAAAATCTTTCCCAAAAAAAAAAATAAAGCTTAACTGCCTAAATATATAGGATTTTTTTATTTTACAGAACTAATTTTTAGTAGAACTATACTAATAAGAAGAAGAGAGGAAGGAGGTTCGGTTAAGAGAAATCAGATCTGGAAAAATTATCAGAACAAATGAGGATATCAGCGGGTTGTTTTATCAATTGGTAGTAGATAAAAATGATGCCTTTTTATTTTTGGAAGATGAAAATAATAAGATATAAAAATTTGACTTCCTCAAAGGCAAAATGAAGGAACATCTACTTCAAAAAAAAGGATAGTGGTTTACTTTTGGTAAAAGAATTATTGTGTTCTCAAAAGGGGAATAATTGAATTTGAAGTTTATAAGATTTTTATGATACTTTAAATAAAAATAGTTAATAATACAAATCAGAATTCATACTAGAATTATTTTGGTTTAATTATTTATCAAAAAAATTTATCACTTAAAATACACTTCATTAGTATTAATAATTAAACCCTTTAGTTAATGAGTTTATCTCTATCAATTTGCCTCTCATAGATTCTATATTTTGATTTTTAATTTCAAGAATTAAGGTTTAAACTAATTCTAAGACTCTCTAATAACATATAAATTTCCCCCTGCTCCACAAAAACACTTAAATCAATTCTCTCCATTTATCAGTAATACATCCAATAGTATATTAATTCTAATATCCTTATATTAAGATAGAAAAGACTCAAAAACATTTTCAGTATAATAATAATCAGGAATTGGATTTTTAACATTCTAGATTTTAATAATTAATGATTCATTCAATACTAACATTAAACCTGTATCACTAATCAAAATATTATCAATATTTTGACTAACAAAAGTTAATTAAATATGCAAGAATAAGATTTAAGATATACTCGCCATAAATAGAGAAAAAGACATAAATTTTTATATATTTTTAGTATTTTTTTTATAATTTCATCATTAATTTTTTATACTATATAGTTTATATATAATTTTCAAGAATTCAAGGGTAATTCAAAGTAACTAATTTATTTAAAGCAAATTATAATCTATCATCTTTTAGTCAGGATTCCTTTATCTTGAACAATTAATTAATAATAAAACTATGTTTGATCAAAAGAGTTAGTTTCTGCTTGAAATTTTTCAATTATTAAATCAATTTTTTCAAAAATTATTTTCTTCTTCATGTCAAAATCAGCAATTAATAATTCTAATTATGGATTTCAATGAACATAAGTAAAATTTTTGAGATTGCTTTTCTAAAATATCAAGATAAGTTTAATAGACACCCCATTAACAGGACTTTTTCTCCTCTATTAAATTTATAGATGGAATTGATTTATCTTCGAACAACTTTTCTCTCCTGGACAGTTTTATGGTCACTGTTTCCAAACGATTATCCAATATAGGGAACAAAAAACCTAAAATAATTGAGTTATCTGCAATAATAGCTCGAAAGGGATTGTATGTGGAATGATCTGAGGAGGATTTTAAAGCTTTCCAGGTAACCCCTTATTTATTTAACTTTCTAAACTTAATGATATTACACAATAGATCGATTAAATTTACAAAGTCATTTTAGGAACGAAAATTTTAATTTATATATATCAAGGATTTAAAAAAGTCAAAAAACTTAAATAGTATAAAAAATCATTTTCCCCAATTTTAATCAAAATTTATAAAGAAGATTATTGAAGAGGAGAAGGTTCAGAAATGGATAGACTATGAAAATATCATTTAAGATTTATAAATGTTTTGAAAAATAGATCATATATTTTTGACTAGATGTGAAGTAATAATATAATTAAACCATAGTAAGTCAACAAGGAAGGGTTAACAATCTAAGAGTATAACCATAATTTAAGAAATTGGAAAAAGTTTATGAGATTTATGTTAAAAATTGAATTACTAGGATATAGATTTAATAAGATGTTCTGGATAACTACACTAGTAATGCTAAAGCTCTTTAGTAACAAGTTGTTGGTGAGCTGGGATAAATTAAAGTATTTAATCTGAAGAAGTCATGAAACAATTCTAGGATAGGGCTTGATATCTGCAGCTAAGACAAAGATAATATCAAGACGACTAGAAAGTTCTTTTTATTGTAAAACTCTTACTAGTTAGATCATCTAGAAGAATGAAAAATAGATCCCTTAGTAGTCTATGATCATAATATATTTTTTTTCTGTGCAAATAAAGAATATTAATTTGGATAGCATATGATATATGATGCAGTAGGTTATGGATCATAGTAATTCAAAAAATAAGAAAAACTTATGATGATCAACTTTTGTCTAAATTTATGCAGAATGGATGGCTTCCTTTAGTAAGGGAGGATATTGTGTATTTTATTTTACATATTTACATAGGCTCTTCGCATTAGCCCTTTTGTAAGCTTAAAACAATGATGCAGGATTATGAGATAAACCATAAATTATACATAAATATCCATTCTGCGAATTAACCATCAATCTTAAAATGATACCATTTAAAAGTTTTTAATTAGATAAAAAAATGAATTGCTGAATTTAATTTATTCTTTCTCATCTCAGTTCTCATAGGCTGATATTAAATAGTACCAAACAAAAGTAATTTTTCAGAAAATAGCTAATATCAAACTTATTATTCCCTTTTATACTTGTGCTTACCAACACTCAAAATAATAACTAAATCAGTGTTATACATTAAGAATAATATCAAAAAAATATCATATTCAATAATGGTACATATTAATATAAAATATTATAATTATCTTGTATCTTCTTTCAACTAGTAAAAAGTCAAAACCCTTTCCATTGTCTCAAATACTCAAATTTATATGATTTTAAATTTAATCTTATACAATTAAAGAACTAGGATGTATTTTATTTAATTTCATCCATTTGCTTTAGTTATGTTAATGATATATTTTCTAGATTATAAATACTTAAACAATAAATGTTATAATTTATTATCGAACTGCATCCAATTTAAAAATTGATGAAAGATTTTTTAACATAGATCTTGCGTGCTGTATTTTAAGAAGATTAGAATAAAAAAGTTACTCCTTTTAGTTGTTTTTATGTGGAAGTAGAAGATAAAAATAACAAACATTTTATTTATAAAACAATTAAAGTTTAAACTATTTCAATAGTTAAATATCCTTAGAGAACATCTGGAAAATAATTCCAGAAAGTCAAAATCAAAACGTTTTTAGAAAGATATTATATATTAATTTTATATCAATAACATCAATTGAGTTGCAAAGCAGAAGCCTGTAAATTTTCAAAGGGTTTTATTTTTTGTCTTCAAAATTATAAATTCCAATATAACTTTAATTGCTAATAAAACTAAATAAGTATAAGTCCATATTTCATCCGGACTAAATAACAATAGAGAAGTAATGTCAAAAGAAATAAATGGCATCAATTGGAGAACATCAATATAAATATTTGACGTTTAGAAAACCTAATAATCCAGATTGTAATAATGACAAAAAGACATAAAAGAAAACAACTGAAAAATCAATTGTTTTAATATAAGAAATTTGAAACCATGATAAGAGGGAAAGTTAAGTTATTTTTTTTATATAACTATTTAGAGTAGATGGATCTTTATAAATTTATGTTATCACATAAAATCTTAATTTGATTTAATTAATGTAGCAGAGAAATTAGCTAGTTTCAAATAACTTAGATTTACGTAATTCTTTCTTTTCACCTGAAACAAATCTGTGGACTACCAATATAAACTTTGCTTCTTAATAAAATGCTTTGATTGTTGTTAAATATTTAGAAAAAGTTAAAGAAAAAAATTTATATATTGGAGCATAATACATAAAATACTCAAGACATGTAAATAAAATGTTTAATTTAGAAATATATCTCCTTTATAGAGGCATTTTTGACTATTTTACGAAATTCAAACGATGAAATAGTGGGATTTAGATTAGAGAAAAATGGTAATAAAATTGAGTTTTTCGGATAAATAAAAGGTTGGCTTGCTATCCTTATGAAAGAATGTATTAGTTTAGACTTTGTTTCCAATTTTCAGATAGTGAAATTGCTAGGAAGTGGATCAGCAGCTAATGTATACTAAATTGTTTAAAGTTAGGTTTATAAAGTGAATTCAAAGATCGATAATCAAGACTATGCTATAAAAGTCTTTGATAAATCCTTATCTTATAAAGACTCAACCATCTAATAATCAATAAAAATGGAAATAAAGATTTTAAGATAATTAAATCATCCAAATATCATATAATATAAAGGTGTTTTTGAATCAAACGCTTAGATTATCTTAGTGTAAGAACTTTTAGAAGGGGGAGATCTAAAAAATATACTTGGAGATGAAATAGTAAACGAAGGAGCTGCTAAATAAATATTAAGATCAATTCTAAAAGGATTAAGTTATATGCATAATAAAGGTATATTTCATAGGGATATAAAAAAATGTAATTTAATGTTAAGAACACAAGATAATTTTAATTCTCTTTGTATAATTGATTTCGGATTAGCTGAAAAAGCAAATGATGATAATAATTATTTATTTAAATATTGCGGAACTCCAGGTTGTGTAGCACCAGAGATTTTGAGAAAACAAAAATATGGATTAAAAGTTGATATATATAGTGTTGGAATATTGGGTTATTAAATCTTATTTGGAAAAGACCCATATTAATCAGCTTCAGCTAAGGAAACTATTTTGAAAAACTTTTTAGGGCATATTGATTTTTTAAATATACCTTAGATTTCAAACAATGGATTATGTTTTATAAAATCGCTATTATAAGATGATCCAATTAATAGATTATCTGCAAAATAAGCATTAAAACACCCTTTTTTATATAATGAAGAAAATTAATTAATTACCAGAAATTATCTTGATGTTAATAGAACTAAAGCCATTTCTCCAAAATTGAAACCTTTAATCTTTAAAAATTCAAGAAATTCATCACCAAATGGAAGTCCTAAAATATAACCAAACAAAGTTTATTTCAGAGCTTAAGCAAGTCCTTTACGTAAAAATACTGAATAAAAAGAAAAAATTTCTAATTCTGAAAATTATGGAAAATTAACTTCATCATGGAATTTTAGAAATACATTTAAAAAAATGAATACAAAATGAATTTAGTGTATATTTTCTATTATGTAAAATTTATATAATATTAGTTAATTAATAATTTTTAAATATCTTCTCAAAGATTTTGCCAAATCCTATTCAATCTCTTACATTTGTTTAAAAATTATTCATAATTTATTTACAGATATATTGAAATAGTTATGTATAAGAATAAGAATAACTATAGGATCTATCGTATAGTGGTTAGTACCTGAGGCTTTAACCCTCAAGACCTTGGTTCGAATCCAAGTAGGTCCTTTTTTTATTTTTATATATTATAAATAATTATATATATTTATATTTTATATATTACTTTTTGATTGTGATTCATATACTTTCAAGGATATAATTTTCCAACTAGATTTTAATCAATGACTCTAGATCCTCTTGAGGATTATTCAATTACTCTATTAACTGAGGAACTAGTCACATTCTATTATACAGTAACTGATTTAACTTCAGTTACTCCACCTTTTTTAAGTGCTTCTAATTCAGCTTATGCCATAATCAATTTTTCTTATGTTTCAAAAAAATCATTGTTTAATTTCTTAAATCTTGTCCTCCAAACTTCAACTTCCTTCATAGAGAATAAGAGATTACATTAGTTAAAGTCTATGTTTCAGTACTTTCTACAGTAACAGTGCTTTCCATATGTTGATATCTTTATTCCCATTCATTTAATTCTTCTAACTTCTATCTAAGATCACCTTAGAGTTTTTCTAATTCTAATTTTGAATTGTATAATTAGCTCTATTTTAATAATATAAAAATACTTCAAAAAGTGCCAATCTATCTTTCAAAGATTAAGATGAATTATCACTTCTTAATACTAAATATTCTCCTTCCTTTTATCTCAATCTATCTTATTCATTTCTAAGATTTATTTTTAATCTTTCAATGTCCATTTACAAATCAGCTATCTAAAATTTTATATTGCTGAAATACTCTAGTTGTATTTTCAACTTTGACTGTTTCTTTTTCCACTTTTACTTATGGTTATCTACTTAATAATTCAGCAACTCTTTTTCTCAAAATAAGGACTTCCTCTTTATATTTTTCTTCTTCCTCACAATGACATTCTTTTTCGCATTATTATGGGTATGGCATTGGAATATAAATTGGCATTGGCATTGCTTAAGGTTAAGGACAAGGCTATGGACAAGGTTGGCAACATGAAGTATTAAAAGCAACATTATAGACTCCATTTGTTTGTCTGTTTGCTAATGTAGCAAATGTAGTTGTCAAATAATTTCTTCTAACAAAGTTGTAAGTTGATCTTTATTCATTTTCAACTGTAATCACTCGATCAGATACTTTTGTAGTCAAAAAGCTTTCCTCTCTTTTTGTCGTCGTATTGATCATTGTTAAGAAATAAAATTTATATTAATACAATCAAGTTATTTACTATTTATATTTAAATTGTAATAATGTTTTGAAAAGCTAATAATATTGAAAGTATTATTGCCATTAAGTTATGAATATTCAATTTTAATTATTAAATTTTTATGTCTGCCTACGAAGACCCTATTTCCAGTCCAAATATGGCAAGCTCAATAGTTTTTATGAGTACAAATTATATTATTTTTGAAGATGATGAATTCTTAAATAACTTTAAAATGAAGCAATCTTAATTCACAATGCTGGACAAAGTAAAGTTATCCAGAGAAGTGAGTGAATAGAGTATTCTCTCTTAAGACTCTTATGATTTCGAAGCCAAAAAAGGTTTCAAGACTAAGATATGGAAGGATAGAGCTCTAAATATAATAGTTCTTGTTGCTCGCTTTGTTACTTACTTATTGACTAATTCGGATAAATTTAAATTGCGATACTTAGATCATAGGTAATTTAAAGTTATTGGAGATAAGGCTTCTGATTTTAATTTTTATTTAACACATAAATTAATAAGAGGCAAGTCTAAAAAAGGCTCATTGGTAATTTTATATTATTATCCTAAGGAATTGCTATCAACAAAAATTAAGTTGTACCTAAGTTTTTTACGAGTGTTTTCCTCAATTATAAAACCAATAAAGCCTGATAATTTGCTTAAACTATATTGGGATGTAATTGTTTTTCTCATTCTTTTAATAAATATACTTTATATTCCTCTTAAGATCTCATTTTAAATAAGTGTAGTTGATGGAGCAGATTTTTTTTTAGACACTCTACCTCAATATGTGTTTGTTTTTGAAATATTGCTTAATTTTAATGTTGCTTATTATTCTAGAGGAGTATTAGTGTTGAATAGAGCATAGATTTTCAAACATTATTTGAAAGGTAAATTTGCTCTTGATTTTATTGTTCTCATCCCATTTATGATAGGGAGATCTAATGTTCCATATATAGAATTCGTTTTACTCTTTAGAGTATCTAGGGTAAATAGTTTTATTATCTTTAAAGGTTATGTATATTTTCGAAAATATAGTTGAAACTATGAATCTTCGAGTAAATTTTGCATCAGTTATTGACATAATCTCATTAATGTCAACCTTCTTGTTTGCTTCACATATAATAGCTTGCATTTGGCATTTTATAGCAATTTAAGAATCTTCTTTTGAAGAAAATACATGGATTCAAAGAGCAAATTTGGTTGAACATAATTGGCAAGCTAGATATATTACAAGTTTTTATTGGGCTTGTATAACTACATTGACTATTGGGTATGGCGATATAATACCAGTAAATATTATGATAATTATTGTAAAGGTTACTCAATATGAGAAAATATTTGTAATTTTTGTGACTCTTTTAAGTTCTATTATATTTGGTTATACAATATCAAGTATTGGTTCAATTTTTGCTCAAATGAGTGAAAATAAAAATTATCTTAGAGATAGAATGACATTGATTGATTCTTTTCTTAAAAAAAGAGGATTGAATAAAGATTTGTAAGTTAAAGTTAAGAAATTCTTTGAGTATTTTTTGAAGTAAGAGAGAGATTAAGAATCAGAATGTGAAAAATTAATGATTCATTTATCTGGAACTTTAAATAGGGAAGTAAAGATAGATTTTTATAAAAATATGTTATGTACTTCTAAATTAATTAGGCAAAATTTCTCTGCTCAATTTATAGAGAAGTTATGTATACTAGTTAAAGAATAATCATTTGTTCCAGAAGAGATAATCTCAATTGAAGGGTAATTAAAAATTAATTATTAGATAAAAAGTTGATAAAATTTACTTTATACTTAAAGGAGAGGTAGAAGCCTATATTAGTAACAATAAAACAATTAAAATATATTCAAGAAGTCAAGCTATAGATGAAAAGTCATTCATTTCATAACATCCTGCTTTGTTTTCAACCAGAGCTATTAAATTTTCAAAACTAGCTTACATCACTTATGATGATTTATTGGAATTATTAAAATACAATTAAGAAGATAGAGAAAATTTTTATTATGTGAAACATCAAATAGAATTTGGTGGTAGAGTTAAAATGGGTGGATGTGAATTATGTCATCAAAATCATGATTTCATAAAATGTCCATTTGTGTTTTATACACCAAATAGTTTAAGATTATTTAAAAAAAATGATCATGATGAAAAGTAGCATAGAAGATTCAAATTACGATCTAGAATAAGCTAAAAATTGCATAATGTAATGTAAATTAATTGCTATAAATAGAATTCTCTAGGATAATTAAAAAATCAACAATAAATAGTCTTTAACTATTGTGCATGTTAAGGATTATTAAATGAAATTGGACCTAATTCAGAATTTATTTTATCAAATAGATTCAATTTTTAATAAGATTCAGCATAAGAAGATATAGAACCTAGCTTGACAAATTCAGATAATGAGTCAGAATATAAACCAATAAAATCTTAAAATTATTTACAGATCAAAAGAGATTCTAAAAGGAAAGTTTCTGAAAATAAAGATAATCAATCTATCAAATCTAAAAAAAAATATACTAGAATTTCTATTTAAAAAATATGTTAATAAAATAGAAATTCTGGATAATACGAAAGAGAAAATTAAATTTTAGAAAGGAGACACAAATCAAGCACAAAAAGGGCTACTTTAATATAAAATTTGATGAAACTTGAATAAAGTGAAAGATTGGATGATGACCCTTTATAAACTTAATTTTAATAAGCAATAGCTCTAACTTTATAGACTTAATAATAGTAAGGATTATCATAATTACCATCACCATAATTATAATAGCATTCAGGATAATAATTAAAATTTTTTGATGTTGATTAAGTATAATATATTGAAATGGATATTGCAAAATTAATGCTTACAAAAGAATGCGATATTGATTCATAAAAAGAAATGGAATTTTATGACACGGGATTTAATTTTGAGATAGTAGTTGGAAAATTGAAAAAAGCTAGTAAAAAGTTACCCTTAAAATTGAAAAGAAAAAAATTGATAAAATCATTGGCAAGATCCCAATCAATACGACATATTAGCTAAACCAGATCTTGAAAAATACTTATTATAATATTCATTATTTTCTAATATTCTAATTAATCTTTAAATAAATTCAGCTAAATTTTAATTGTTTAACATTTCTTTTTTTAATGGTTGCATCTTTTTATAAAAATTTTTTCTAAATAGAACGCGTATCGAAATGTTAAGTTTATCTTTTTCAAAAATTGTTTGAAAAGGATTAGTACAAAATTTCTGAAAATTTTCATGCAGATATCTATTGAATCTTGATAATCATAAACTTACTTGGATTTTATCCTAATAAGGCTGCTTACATCTTTGAATAAAGCAGTTTAGAATTAAACAAGGAAAAAAAATTATTCTAGTTGGTGCTATTATATAGATTAGTTTTTTAAATAGAGGATATAATAGTTTTTTTAGAGTATATTAAATAAATTTCAGATAAGTATTAATTTAAATAATTTTTGTAATGGCAGAGTAATGAATATTTTTATAAATTTTTTAGGGAAAAGGATACAAAAACAATTCCCCTTGATGAGAATGATATAAACCTTTTGAAAAAATATGGTATGGGACCATATGCAGAGAAAATTAAATAATTAGAAGAAGAAAACAAAAATTCTGTTACCACAATAAATAAGATGGTAGGTATAAAAGAGAGTGATACAGGTTTAAGTATTCCAAGTACATGGGATTTAGTAGCAGATCAAAAACTTGCTTCAGTAATTAAAAAATTTAATTTTTTAGGAACATCCATTGACAGTAGCTAGATGCACAAAGATATTTAAATCATCTTTATAACAAAAGGATCTTTATATGATCACTATAAAACATATAGCTAAGTATGTTGTTGGATTGGGTGAGAAAGTGGCCCCTACAGACATTGAGGAAGGAATGAGAGTTGGAGTAGAAAGATAAAAATATGCAATTTAATTACCCTTACCACCAAAGATTGATCCATCTGTAACAATGATGACTGTAGAAGATAAACCTGATGTTACATATAATGATATTGGTGGATGCAAAGAATAGTTAAAAAAATTAAGGGAAGTAGTTGAAATGCCTTTATTGAATCCAGAAAAATTTATTACTTTGGGTATTGATCCACCTAAAGGTGTTTTGATGTATGGACCTCCAGGAACAGGTAAAACATTGACAGCAAGAGCAGTTGCCAATAGAACTGAAGTATTTTCTTGAAGAAATTTAGGCATGCTTTATTCGTGTTATTGGTTCAGAATTAGTTTAGAAATATGTAGGGGAAGGAGCAAGAATGGTTAGAGAATTATTCTAAATGGCAAGGACTAAAAAGGCATGCATTATATTTTTTGATGAAATCGATGCTATTGGAGGAGCAAGACATGATGATGGAAATGATAATGATGTTTAAAGAACAATGCTTGAAATAGTTAATTAATTAGATGGATTTGATTCTAGAGGAAATATTAAAGTGTTGATGGCAACTAATAGACCAGACACTTTAGACCCAGCACTTTTGAGACCTGGAAGATTGGATAGAAAAGTCGAATTTTCATTGCCTGATTTAGAAGGTAGAGCAGGTATATTTAAAATTCATGCCAGAACTATGAGTATGGAAAAAACATTAGATATGAATTATTAGCAAGGTATCTATTATTTTAATAATTTAGATTATGTCCTAATACAACTGGTGCAGATATTCGAAGTGTTTGTACAGAGGCTGGTATGTTTGCAATTAGAGCTAGAAGAAAGGCCATAAGTGAGAAGGATTTATTAGAAGCCATTGAAAAAGTCATTAAAGGATATTAGAAGTTCTCAGCAACACAAAAATATATGGTGTATAATTGATTCTTATAGTCATAAATAAAAAAAAATGGCATCGTTTATATATTACTTATGAAATATAATAGATAAATATATTATTTTTGTTCAAGTCCAATATCTCTAACTTGGTTCTCTTGGGAATTTCATTTCCTCGATACACACAATCACATCATCATAAATTGAATTATTAATAAATGGCAAATTCTACAAAGCTGGTCCTTGTCTCACTCTTGCATATTTATCATACACTGAACCATGACAAATGCAAACCCATCCCTATCATAATTATTTGTATAATACATTGTAGGCACCTAAATAAGGAATTGGGATGCATCCCAAATGAGTACACAAAGCACTGACAACCAATACCTTTGTATTACCACAATTTGTTAAGACAACCTCAGAGCTAATAATTTAGTTTTGTATTTTACTTTGGATCCAAAATAGTTTCTTTTGGTAAATTATCTTCATCTTTTATTTCTTATTATGTTAATCTTCTAATAAATACTGGTGTACCATTCCATACAATTTGCATGACTTCTCCAGGAGGTAAATCTCCAATACTAAATAATTTATGCTAAAGTATTACTCCATTTCAAGATAAGTATCTCTGTCATATCTCTTCCATCCATTCAATCTACCTATTAAACCTACTGCAAATAGCCTTGCAAAGGATAACAATCCACCATAATAGACTGCATTTAATGCATATATTTATGTTCTTTTAATCTCAGTCTCATGTTCGTTATGGACTCTATGATCAATTGCTTAAGCAATTATTACCTGTTTTCATCAAACCAATTATCCATTTGCACTTTAAAATCTATATGATCACCAAAATTTCCAGGTCTAGCTGATGTAGTGAAGAATTGTGGTGTTTCAGATACTTAAACTCCTTTGTATAACTTTTAATTGACTCTGTTGTTGTATTCTGAAACTAGACCAAAATGAGCTTTGCCAATAAATGATCTTCTTAATGCTCCACTAATCATTTTTAAATCTTTTATATAATTTATTTATAAATAGTTATTCCTTTCATATTTTCATTTCTTGTATTGATTATCTAATACTCATCAAGTTGCTTTTAGTAATTTGTTCTGGAGTAGCCTATAAAATTCTACTAATTTGAGCCTTTTTTGTAAAAATTTAAATGTTGTTATTATTCTCTATTATCAATCTTAATAAACTGTAGTAATATGTCAATTATTCCAATACATAAACCATAGTTTCATCTTACAATTACAGTTATTAAGAATCACTTGCTCCAGCTAATCTGCTATTACATTTATTGAATAAATCTCTTATGCATCTCTAAAGCAAAGTACTAAAGAGCAAATAAAATTCATAGCTTTCAGTTACTGACTTGAAGTTTTCGTATATTTTTTGAAAACTTCTATCTCTTAATACAGATTATTTTAGTGCATGATTACTTTCAATCATTTAATACTAAAATAAAAATGATATTTACTTATTTATCATGATATTCTTTAGCAATTTAATAGAGTTCATGGACTTAGGTTTAGTATTTTTCAACTGTTTCTATGTAAGTATCAAATTCATATAATTATAAGACATTCTTCTTTTTTTCAACAACTTCTCTCAACAATATAGTCTTAAAGAACATATTTTTAATAATCAAGAATTTTAATTTGATTTATAAATCTTGATTGAATACTTACTGTTTGTCAAGTATTCTTAGGATTCTAAACATTAATTCAATAAATTAGAATTAGGCTTGTATGACTTCATCGTTTTAAGTTAAATATCTGACACTCTCTCTGCTTTTTAATGCAGATTAAGGCATTGCAGTTTAAGCTATAAAATTAATTTTGCGAGCATGATGATATTCTGTGGTTCTTTAAGGAGAATAATTTTCTCTATTTTTAACTGATGGATTTCTATCAGCTATAGGACGAGGTGCAGTCATTGTATGTCTACGATAGAATATGGGATGATGTTCTAAATCACTACATGAGAATCTTTTAGATTCATCAACTGATAGACATTTTAAAATGAATTCTATAGTTTCTTTTGATACTGGAATATTTGATGGAAATTATGGTTGAGTTTTTAACATTACTTAAGCTAAATTTTTTTCACTTTAAGCTGTAAATGGAACTTATCCATACAACATCTCATAAAATATAATTCCCAAACTCCAGATATCAGTTTTTTCAGAATATATATTTTTAATCATAGTTTAAGGAGACATGTATAATGCTGTACCTACATTGTAGTAGATAGTTTCAGGTGGTGCATTCATCATCTTTGAGAATCCATAATCTGCTATTTTAGGAATTCCATTTCTTATAAGAATATTTATTGGTTTTAAGTCTCTGTGAATAATTCCTTTTGCAACTTATTCTTTAAAACCATTAACAATATGCTTCATTATCTTAATTGCCTCTATTTCATCAATTCTCTATTTTCTTTTTATTAGTTATCCAAGATCCCCTTTAATCATTGATATATTACATACCTTAATTACAAAATTCAGTAATAATATAAGTACATTGTGGTTTGTGATAATAATCAAACATTTTTACTACATTTTCTGAATTCATTAGTGACAAGGCTCGAATCTCTTGATTCAATAAGAACTCTTCGACCTCATTTGTGATTTTACTTCGATCAATTATCTGATGGTTCATATTATAAATATACTTTTATCGCAACGGTCTCATTTGTATTCTCATTTTTACCTTTAAACACTTGACTACTAAAACCTGATCCAATTTAATCATTCACACTGTAACTATAATGTTCAACCTTTACTATTTTTCCAGATGAAAAAGCACCTGCTGTAACTTAAGCAAATTTCATGTCTTATATTATTTAATTAGTTTGTTATATCGATTAAAATTACACTTTATGGACTACACTATTAAAGATTCCTTCTTTGATGATTCTGAAGAAAAATCCTTCTGGACATAAACTCAGTTCCCTTCTAAAGAAATCTAAACTGAACTAAGAGACAATATGCTTATCCACAAAGAAAGGGAACTTGTGAAACGTAAAGTTGGTATTATGTCACATTACCTGTTACTTTTTAAAGATTAAGTAAAATTTAAAGAGTAACAAATTTTTAGGAGGTCCATAAGTGGGTGAATTTGATAAATGCTACCATGGAGTTTATTAAAAATTCAGTAGCCGGTCAAGGAATTCGATTTCTAAAAAATAAACAACACTTCGAAATGTATGGTGATGTTGAACCTTGGTATAATTACCTTAAAAAGTATTGTATATAGAGAGGCTTCTCTCAAAGATACTCATTACTTAAAAAAATAGGTTAAGGAAATTTCGCTGAAGTATTTCATTATATCAATTTAAGGTATTTAAGGCTATATGCAAGGCAGATGGACAAGAGTATGCAATAAAATGCTTCAGAAAATAAGATTTGAAAGAGGAAGTTGATAAATTATCAATTATTAAAGAGACTTCGATAATGAGGAAACTTCAACATGAGTCGGTGATAAAAATGTATGAAGTATTTGAAGGAGAGGAATACTTGTACCTAGTTCTAGAATATTTGAAAGGAGGAGAGTTACACAAATACATGAAGAAGTCTCCTCCTTTTTCTGAAGAAAAATGTTCGAAATTAATTTACAAATTATTAAAAGCTTGCCAATTTATTCATGAATAAGGAATATTACATCGAGATATTAAACCTGAAAATATTATGTTAAGAAAAAAAGATGATTTGGAAGACATATGTCTATGTGATTTTGGATTAGCAGATTATTATACTCCAAGTGGTAAGTATTTATTTACAAGATGTGGAACTCCAGGATATGTTGCCCCTGAATTATTATAAGATAAAATCTATGATTATAAAGTAGATATATATAGCATAGGAATTTTGATGTTCATACTTATTGCTGGTAAATCTCCTTTTGAAGGAAAAGATTATGATGATGTTGTAATGAGGAATTACTATGCAAAAGTAAAATTCGAAGAGTGTAAATTAAGTGAGCATGGAATGACTCTGCTACATGGATTAATGAATAAGAATCCTGTTAAAAGATTAAGTGCCTAAGAAGCATTAAATCATTAATGGTTTATATAAGATAAATTAGCAAAAACATGTCAATTTAAAATTCGAAGACATAGCAATGTTAAGAGATTACCACATCTTGATGGTTCACCTATTCCAACTAATAATTTTTTGAGTCCCAAAAATTCATTTAACAACCTTAGTCCTTAAAGTTTAACTCGTACTGATGATAATACACCAAACTCTCCAATAACTCCTGTAACACCTCTCTAAAATAAAGGTAAACCAATTCGTAAATCGATTTTCAATTTGTAATAACTATGAGTATATAATTCATATTCATATCAATACCTAAATTAATAAAGTACTTTACAGTTCTTATTAATTTACTAATTAATTTTGAATATATAATCTTAACAAAAAAGAGAAGTATTTTTTCATTTACATAAAACTCTTTTGTTAACGATTAAGCATAAATAATTTAAATAAATTTTTCTTTAAGTTCACTAAGTTACAATTAAGAATGGTAAAACTATATAATCTCTATAAACAACATAGATTCAAGAGCCATAAATTAATCCTCAACTCGGTCCAATTATTGCTAAGCAATTACAAATGATGATCAAATAACCTATTGATGGTATTTTGATATCTTATTCATTTAATAGGTGTCCATGTTATTTTTAATGAATAAGATGTTTATGATATTCAAGCTGATATTGATGGTCCTGGTAAATTTTTATCTTATTATTTAGTCGACACTCCATTCTAAGGTGGTGTTTTTAGATGTAAATTGATCTTGCCTCCACAATTCCCTTAGATGGCCCCTAAAGGTAGATTAGCTAAATATTTTAGGACTATTTAACACTAAAATCTTTCATCCAAATGTATCAGAGAAGGGAGAAATTTGTGTCAATACATTAAAGAAGGATTGGAATCCTATCTAATGGTCATTAAAACATATATTTGAAGTTATTAAATGTTTGTTAATTGTTCCCTTTCCAGAAAGTTCTTTAAATGAAGAAGCTGGAAAATTATTTATGGAAAACTATGATGAATATTTTAAAAGAGCCAAATTATTAACTTCTATATATGCATTGAAACAAGAAGCAAATGTATTAAAAGGAAATAATTAAGTAAATAATATAATATTAATTTTAGATTGTATTTGATGAAGCAGATAAAAAAAATAAAGTAAATTAAATATAACAAAAAAAAGAAAATGATTAAAAGAAATGGTTAAAAAGAATATGAATACTTATCATTAACAAATAAATTATTAATATATTTTTTATGATTTTTTTAAACTTTTCTCTTAGCATATAACATGTATATTTTAATCAATAGAAAAAATACAGTTATACCTTTGGATTACATTCAAGTGAATTTGTTATCTCTTAAAATATTGAGTAATTTCAATGAATAAATAGAATTTGATGTTAATAATTAATTAATTAATCATTTATAATAATTTTTATAAAGAAACTTTGGGGAAAATTTATTAGGAATTGTCTATTAAATAGTTTTTCCTAATTCAGGAGTTTTTGATTACTTAGATTTAACTCTATCTTTTTTGATTTAGGAAAATTCAGATATTAATTTATTAAGCATTGCTTAATTAGTTTCTTACTTCATAGATGCTCTATTAGGAGGCATTTACTTTTTAACAAATTTTATTGCTAAAAGATTAGGACTTGCTAATTTTTCAGCAGGCTCAGTTTTTCTTTATTTCGAATTAGAATTTTCCATCCATTCTTCAATAGATTATTCAGTAATTTTGAAGTTTTATTTAGTTTTTTTATCAGAATTATCAAAACACTTAACATCTTTACTATTAGGTTAACTTAAAGGTCTTTTATCTTTCTCAACACTTTTGCAAGTTTTTTATTCAGAGCTTGATCTAGTACTTTCATGATTTCTTAAATCAATAGGTTAATCTTTCTCATTCAAGAGGCTTAAATCTTTTAAGAAAGAATCAAAAGCAATCAATCTCCCTTCATAATGAAGATAAGGAATTTTATTCTCTTAAATTTCTTTAAGACATTATTAAAGTTTAAAGAGTTTGCTGCTATAACCACCCATAATTTAATTAAATGGTAGAGTACTCATTTATACAATTTAATCATAATGATTTGTAATGTCATTGATATAAGTTCCTAATTGATGTTCAACTTATTTAGCTTATTATTTTAATTAATTTGTAATTTATATGCCAGACCAGAGTGATTAAGATAAGGCAAAAAGTAATTCTGATTTACACTTTAAAAATAAATAATAATAATTACCTATTAAAGTTATTTTTCAATGTTTCCAAATGTTCTAACAACTTATGTATATTAGTCATTATAAAACTTTTTTAAATTTGCTTCAGTACATAAGAAATTTGAATGTATATTACTTATTTCACTTTTAGTATGGAGCAATTATTCTATAAATGAATCAGTTTATTTCTTCTTTGCATTATCTATGAGATGTGAATAACTTTCAAATTACCTTCTTCAATTAATTAAATTTTATGTCCTTATTATGCAAACACAATAGCACATTTAGTGCAAAGTTTTTCATTAGGTCCTTCAGAATTAAGTAATATGTATTTAGCCTAAATTTTATATAAATTTAGTTACTTTTTTTTCAGGATGTTGTAAACAAAATGGATGATTGCCATTATAATGAAATTCTGAACTTTATTTAAATTTTTCACTAAAAAGGTTTGTACTCTAATGAACAGGAGTATCCATTGCATTCCAAATTTATAAAGATGAGAGATATATTTAATCTTCTCTTTTCATTTGAATTTTAATTAATGATTGTTATGATTAATTATTATTACTAAAAATACATATATATATATATATCTAATTTATATTATATCTTGTAAATAGATATTCAATAACGAATGAAAAGATTATTATTAATGAAATAATTATTCAAATTATTATACAATAATAATCTTAGTAGTGAATATAATTTAGATTCATCTATTAAAACTAATGAAAAAAAGAATTATATTATCAATTTATATATGCATAATATCTTCATTTTTAACTTATTATTTATCCTTCTTGCATATTAATGATGTAATTGCAATTAACAACAATTTTTGGTCTGTGAGCTATGATTATTTTTGTAGCATTTATATTACGTAAAGCCTATTCTATAACTTCTTCAGTTTCATCATCAATATTTGCAGTTGCTTCATCAAATATTAATATTTTTGCATCATGTAAAAAAGCTCGAGCCAATGCTAGCAATTATTATTAACCCACACTTAAATTATAATCCATAGAATCTAATCCCCATTACTTAATTACAGAATCTAGCTAAACTTTACCTAATGCTTCCCATATTTATTCATCATAACAAGTTTTATGAGGATCTAAATTAAATCTAATTGTTTAATTAAATAAATTGCTTGATTATGGTATAACCATAACAGTATTTCTTAATTAAGAAAGGTTTATTTAATTGATATTAATTCCATCAATATATATAGCTCCACTTGTAACATCTACAGTTCTCAATAATAAATTAATGATTGAAGATTTACCAGCTCCTGTTCTTCCCATTATTCCAACACTTTAACCATATTCAATTTTGAAACTTATATTTTAAAGAGCATATTTTGTTGATTTAGGATATTTTAAATACACATTTTGAAATTCTACAACACCATTAGTAGGCCACTAATTCATTTTTGATCCTGAATAATTTTCTGAAGGTAATTATATTGTATTCTATACTCTAACACAATTTTACATATCTATATCTAAGAAGATCTATCCTCTCAAACTAAATAAAATATAAAAAATATATTATACTTTAATGAGAACATATATCCTAATTACATCAGCATTAAGACAGAAAAACCAATGACATCTTTAGAGTATTCAGATGAAAGTAATATAGCTAAAACAGTTATGATTAAGATATGCAATGAGAATTCAATAATAAAAGCCAATAAAGCATTAAGTCTTAGAAAAGTAAATTATGCCTACATATTTGAATAAGTTTATTATAAAAATTCTGATTGTATTCTACTTTATTAATTGTAAACTCTAATTAATATGGATCCATTAATAGAGCTACGTAAGGATTAATATAATTGAGCTCTTGATTAATCATCTAAATTTAGTGAATATTTCATTTTATGATGGAATTTAGATTTCATGAAGAGCATTAAAATGAGAAATGCTGCTGAAACAATAATAATATAACTATTTAAACTAATAATCAAGATAACAAAAATGTTATCGATAAGTCCTTCAATAACCCAATGTAAATCTAACATAACCATTCCTTCAATATTATTGATGTCAGTAGTAAATCTACTCATCAATTTTCCAATATTTGTATAATTCTCCAATTTCATTCTTACAATAGTTGATATTAATTTTCTATGTAAATTATTAATAACAGTAATAGTAAATCCAAACATTTCATTAAATTTGATAAAGCTAATAAAAATATAAAAAATCATGAGAAACATATTAATTAATAAATTAGTTTCACCAAATTATTTAATTATCAAAAGTGATAAAGATGCATCCAATAAATATAAGAATCCAATTAACATAGCTCTATTTTTTCCTCCTTCATCAATATATTTTTAATAAACTGTTTTAGATACTTCTAATATTTCTTCTTCATCTTAAATTCCTTATTATTATTCTGGTTATTCTTATACTTCTTATAATTATTAATTTTCAATCATATTTATATCCTCTTAAATTAGTTATCCATCCTACATTTTATAAATTACATCACATTCAGCAATTCTAGAGGATATTAAAATTACTATTTTTCCTTAAGTCTTTAAATATCTAAGAGTATTAAGAATTGTCTTTTATACATTAGCATCAACTGCTGATAATATATCATCTAGTAAATAAATATCTGAATCAGAATATAATGCTCTACTGAAACTCAATCTTGTTCTTTATCCTCCAGATAATTTTGATCCATTCTCACCTACATTGAAATCTGGATCAATATTATCACCACTTAAACCACTTTAAGCAAGTACATTCTAATAATGTGTTTCATTATTTGGACAACCAAAAAGAATATTCTCTTATACAGTTCCTGAAAATATATAAGGTCGTTGTTCTACATATGCTACATGACCTTATATCTTTAATTAACCACTGAAAAATGGAATTTCATGTAATAATGCTTATAGTAAAGATGACTTACCACTACCTACTGCACCTCGTATAATAATAAATGTTCCTTTATCTAATTTTAAATTTATCTTATTTAATATTGGTTGATTTTACATTTCTTATAATTTTGTCCAATATGCACTATAATTTATAATCTCTATTTGACCTTAACGTGATTCCTCCAAAGTATCCAAAGATGCTGCTTCTTCCTCCTCTATTTATTGATATTTCTTTTATCTTTTAGTTGGTTATCTTGTATTCAATAATTTAGGTTCTATTTCTGGAATACAAAGAACATCATTGATTCTTTATTGTAAAACTCTTAAATTAATAATCAATTTATAAGCTCTCTATCCATAAGTAATACACCAAACTTTAAATAGTTGTAGAATCCAAATTGAACTAAAAATTTGATCTGGAGATGGATAATCATCATTAAATATTTTATAAGTCAACAACATCAAGAATAAACTTACAAACACATTGATATTACCATTAAAACAATATGCTAGAGCATCAATCTTTAAGATTTCTCTCATTTTATTATCTTATTCTTATCTCTTAACCAATAATTTATCTCTAAAAATTTATTCTAATCCTAACATTTTTATTTTTGGAAGATTATTTAAAATCTCTTCTGTTAACTTTGTTCTTTCATCTTAAATTTGACTCTTTTATTACTTCAATGGACCTGTTTTTGTTGTTATATGCTTTTAAAATATCATCAAACAACATAATGTTATAACACCAATTATTGATGAAAATCCAAAATATGAGAATAATAGGTAAATACCTATACAACATATTATTGGAGCACCACTAAATGCTAACAACCATGTTAAATCAAGATCAGCAATATCCATTGTTATTATATTAAAAAATTATCCATCTTTTAATCTTGATGTTGATATTCTTTATAATTTAGCTAATAACATTTATGCTAAAGAAGCTCTAATCTTTGCTGACATCTAATAAATATTTTAAAAATAGTGCTATTCAAAAATTACCTAACTTAATAATAATGCACCCAAAAAGATAGCATTCCATGAATCCATACTTTCTAAAGTAACTTTTAATAAATAAGATACACTAATCTTTATAATCACTGTTATTTGAACTATTAAACAATAATATATAATAGGTCCCTTGAAAGTATTGAATACCTTTTTCCATAATTCATCTCCTTCAGAATTTAATTCTGTCTTCAATCGGTCACTAAACCATGGAAACATTGATTCCTGAAGCAATGGTAAATGATCACCAAAAAGATATTTGAGAGGCTAAAGAAAAAATATGATTTTATAAAGCGGGACTGGAATAGCAGGCAATGTATGCATTTTTTTAACAAATTTTATTTTAATTATTAAATATGAGTATTTCATCATATCATTGTTTAATTCAGATTTATATGATTTTCTCTATTTAATCTAAAGTATTTAATAAATTTAGTTATCACAAAATAATTAAACTCAAAAGTATAAATATAATCAAATTTTTCATTAAATATAGAATCTTAGCAGATATCTTTCATTTTAACTGATTTATATGAATTTTTATTTATAATTAATAAACAATAAATTGCATTTTTAATCCACTTCTTAATATTATATACTCTTTTGTTTTTTTTCAATATAATTAGAGTGAATCTAAATTCTAAATCTTTAACCTAAATAATCTTAGTTAATTTTAAACTAACTTAAAATTTATTTAAATTTGTACTCCTTAATAGACTTGAAATAAACTCACTCATGAATTTCATTTAATATTTATATTTCATTTTATTCCATTTAAATTATTTTTACCATTCCAATCAATTATTTTTAAATGGGTGTTATCATAGTTAGAGTAATAAAATCTGTTTATAATCTTTAAATAATTTTTATACATCTATAATTATAGTAATCTCTATCTTCTTTTTCTCTTTCTGACAATAATTAAATAACAAAATCATCACTTAATTATGGTATAATAAGTTCTGGTTTTTTATTTTGTAAAATTAGTTGAAGGAATGACTAAATCACAAAATATATTTAATTTTATAATTGTCTTCTATTTTATTATAATTTATTGAAATTTTAAGCGTTTATTATTAATGAAGTAAAAATGATATTTTTTTAGAATAATTTCTTAATAAATATGTTTGATTCAAAAAATAATATTGAATTTGAGGCTGCTATTACTTTTTATTTAGGTTATTAGATAATTGCATAATTTATTATCATAAATATATCAATATATAAATAATCTTAATTCATTTAAAACAACAACAAGATCGTTAAGAATTATTAATTTGTTATTTAGCAATTGTAAAATTATTGAGATAATTATTACACTTTTGAGACCATTATTTTACATCTAATTGATGAATTTTCTAAAAAAGCTATGAATTGAATTCTAGAGCCTCTAATACTGTTTCTAAATATCTAAGAGATGAAGCGTATTGTATTTCCAAATGTAGCCCTTCTAATGTCTAAAAATTTTAATATGAAACTTACTTTAATGTCTTTAAATAATATGTCAACCATCATATTAGGAGATACACTGTAAGTTTAGGAAAAGTCAGGATTATCAAAGTTAATGAGAAGTAAAGTATTTTAGATCACCATTAGACATGAGATCATATCTTCAAACATATTGAGAAAATTTTCTAAAAGGACTTATTTTTACTATTTTGATTTTAATCCTTAAGTTATTAATTCTAAAAACCTGCCATATTTTCCATGAATCTCATTTCATTAAATTGAGTATAGTATTCAAGATACTATAACTTATTCTTTTCGATAATTTAGTAGTAATTTTGACTGGCCTCGCTTGGAACTAGAGAAAGTTATGGTTTAGAATAAGTAGATTAATGTAGTCTGAGAACAGTTGTACTGTCTTATTCGTATTAAATAACTGAGTATTAGTTTTGAGTGTTGGCAGGAAATATTTTCTTGATTTTCATAAACAATATAATAATTATAAAAAGGTCAATAATATTTACTTTAATAAGAAATTAATAAAAAATCAATCAAAATTTTCAATCAAATTTTCTAGATATACTATGTATAGATGTATAATTAAATCATTTTAGATATCAATTACTTGTTTTTCATAAAATAAAACATTAATTGCAACTTTCTTTATGAAATATGATCAAAGAGAAATTTATATTTAATTAAAAATAAATTATGTAAAATATGAATATAATGAATGAAAAGTTCGTATAAAATTATCTTCAAATTTTATGTTTAAATATATACTTCATGCTACTTTTAAAATAATTCTGGAATATTCATTAAACTTCTGTTTAATGTTTATAAGGCTTTTAATATTCATTAGAATTTCAGTAATTAATTAAGTTCTGAATTTTATGAAAAGAAAATCTACATTTTTTAAATATGGAAAGCATTAGAGCCCAGATGAACTTATTAAGCATCTGAATTAATGTTCCCTAAATCCTAAATTTATAGAAAATAAGTCAACAGCTGATGTGACGAAACAGAATACTGTGGTTCTTAATAAAATTGAATTAAGAAAGAGTAAATCAAGAGATTGTGATCAAAGTTAAACAATAAATCGATCACGTTTGTAAAGAGAATACTTAAGATTCTTGCTTACTACAGATGGACCTTCAAGTGAATTTTACTAGCTAGAAAAAAAAAAATTATAAATCAAACTTTAAGATATATATGAAACAGCCTAACCTAATATTTGTTTGTCTAAAATACTTGGATAGTACTAAGAACTCGTAAATCCATTCTGATTTATTGATATATCAATCAGATTAGGATTTTACATATTATATTATTTTTTCAATATTTTTTTTATAATCTAGATTTCATTGGACTTCTGAAAATAGACTAGAATCTTTCACTATATTTACTTCATTAGATTATTAGGCTAGTTTTATGATTTAGAAGTATTATTTCTAATTCTTTAATATTTTATTCTCTCTTAAGAATATTCTTCTATTTTTAAATCATTAATCTCAAATTCATTCTAGAATATATTCCATATGTAAAATTTCTATTTTTATATCCTTTACATTTCTAATTAGTTAAATTTTCTTTACAAACGAGCTTCACCTTCTTCATAAAGTATTTACACACGATTATTTTCTCTATTCTTCCAAAAAAGGTTCAATTTATGATTTAAAACATTAATTCAATTTTGATAAATATATTTGAAATAACAATTTTGCCATTCATAATCACATTTAATCATGAATATCCATTTATAACTTATTCAAAGGACTTAACTTCCTTAACATCATCTTTCACAAATAATGTATATAATGGTCATTACTGAATGATTTCTCTTCAATCTTTAGTAAATTATTCACAAATTTTATTTTTGTTTTATAAATCAGAGTAAAATCTATTATAAAAAAAAACAATAATAAAAAAGAAAAGTCACCTGCATTTTTTAAATATATAATTTTATCATTAATGGTGACATCAACACTCATATATAATTAAATATATATTTACTACTAATTAATAATAATAATGACATATTTTTTTTTATTTTTTTATAGTTTAAATTCTGAATTAATTTAAAAATAAAGCATTTCATTTTTTAACTATCTATAATAAATAAATGGTTTTACAAAAATTGTATTGTTCAAAGAGTCAAAATAAACCATTGTCAAATGGAAAAGTACACTTTTTTTTTTAAATAAAACGTTAATACAGCCACCCGTTTTCAATTCCAATTATATTATTTTCTTAAGATATTCTATTATACTAGATCATTTGTAAAGTAATTGAAGGTGTATTCAGATACTTGAAACTCAGAATTTTTTGTTGATTAATAAAATATGCGATCTCTTTTAAACGTTTGGCTTCAATAAATTTAATATTCATTTATTTAACAATAAAATAGAATACTTTTATAAGAATTTTAACAGTAATAAAATTTCTTAATTTTCATAAAAAAGAATAACAATTATAAATTAAATAGAAATAAGAATATTTTTATTTCATTTTCTTAGTGAATTCTCAAATCTATTAAAAGTTTGTTCAATTAAGTTTATTACATTTTTATTACTGGTCTCTCTTTCTTTTTATTTCATTGTATAATTCATTATTCAAATAATTATTCATCTCATCCAACTAAACATCGAGCCTTGAGCCTATTATCTTTATTTTTTCTCATAACTTAAAATTTCTTATAATTTCAAAATAAAATCTCCAAGTTTTTATAAAAGAATTTTGGTTTTACTCCTCCCTAAAAGTATTGTTAACAACACCATTTGTCTTCTTTCTTTCTTCAACTTCTTTTATATTTATAAAACTCCATCTCCAATTTCCGATGAATTCTTTTCTATAGTTACTTTTTTCATCACCAGCTTTTCATTATTATTCTCTAATTATTTTAACCTCCTTTCTCAATTTTGTAAAAGGATTCTCATAATAATTTAAATTTATAATCATCATCTTAGCTTTATTTTAGAAAGACTCTTTTTCAAACTTAATTAATTATTTTATTATACAGCTTAGTCTTCATCAACTTTATGTTAAAAATTTGATAATTTTTCTGATAATTAAAAAATGGTAGCTCTATTTGGTGAAAGTGTTCATTTAGGACTACCGCCAACAGTAACATTAGATCTAAATGGATAGTATAGAATCTTGATGAAGACATTATTTTATAAATAAAAAATTATTTATCATATATCATTAAATAGTGTTTTGAATTAAAATTTCTTTATATCAGCTTAAGAACATGTTCTTGTGGTACAAGCCTTCTATGAAGAGGATTTACTGTTTGGTATTAAAAATAATGGCAAGGGTTTTGGTGAGATCTGAAGTATGGGAAGGGATTTCTTTTTGTTTGGTCTACCACCATTAAGTAAATAATTATTGTAAATGCGAGTAGTTATTTTTAAAGTGGGCTTTTTATTTTATGTTCTATTCATTGTAACAATATTTCCCTCACTGCCTTATTTACTGATTGCAAATTGTGTGCGTAATCTCTAGTTTGTAAACAACAATTAAGCATTATTGTTTTCTTGAAATTTCTCCATTGATGTTCCTCTGGATCTCATCTTTATATCACTAAAATTATTTTTTTAAGTATTTGTTTAAGTATTGGCAGATTACATTTTTATATTTAAATATAAAGTGAAATACAGATTCAAAGCATATATGTAAATTCATGCTTTAAATGATATTTAATATTGTTAAATTTGAATTAGTATTATTTCAATCTAGCCTTGAGATTTCTAATTCATATGTTTTAAGGTATATTTTCAAATTGTTAATTCCCTTTATTTAAAAAAATCTATACTAATAATATAAATCGTTCAGTATGAATGTTTTAGATATTATTTAATCAAATCTATTGTTTCACAAACATTACATACTTGATTATGAGAGAGGCAATTTAATATCTCTAAATTATTGATTAAAATTTATGCATTATCAGTATCCCATTGATCTTGATTATCTTTACAGAAAATAATCTGGATGGTTAGTTTAATGGCATAATTTAATATTTATAATTAGACATTTTATGTATAATTTAATCCATTATTATTACAATTAATTTACATGTTAATAAGGAGACCTTATATAATATCTGAAATGAAATGTTAATATAAAAAAAATAAGGATTAAGTTTTTAAGATGAATATAAAATTTAGGACTACATATAATCTATATTTTAAATGATATTATAATTTATGCTGATATCATGAATAAATCTCACTTTCATTATCCCCATGAAGCAATTTATCTCTTCACATTTTCATAGTTTTTTAAGGTTTAATCAATCTTAGGTTCAGCTCTTAAGAAATCTTCCTTAGCTCTGTTTTATTATTATTAATAATAATTACTTTTTATCATTTGCTTAGATAGCTGCTAATTAATCTTTACTTAGTGAAATCAATTTCTTCTATCTAGAAAGTCTTAATCAAAATTTTACTCAGCAGGAGATAGATTTTATATTTTACTAACATGTTCTTTAATTGTTTTAAGTATCATCTCAATTAAAGGATCATTTTCATAAGTCATTTTTCCTTATGCTAAACCTTTTAGAGCAGATTTGAATAATGCCTTTTAAATTTCTGGAAGATTATTCTTCAAATTAGTTTCTAAGGATTTTTAAGCAGCTTCAATAATTTCTTATAATAATCTATTTTAATTAATCTAATTTAATATAATCTTATAATTACTTATTCTGATTATTAAACTTATTTAAGAATGTTTTATGATCTTTCAACAACATGTCTCTATAGATTTAATTATTCATTCATAAGAAACTAAAGAATATAATTTATTAATAAATACAGTATTAATTAATTCTGCTTTAACATCTCTGAATTCTTTATGTAATTATCCATATTCAATCTATCCTTTAGCTGCTTCAAGTAGTGTGCGAATTTTAAGTTACATATTTTCATGATAATATTGATCTAATTAGAAACATTCATTTCCAGCTACTCTTCTGTAAAATCTAGCAAGTAATGGTTTCATAAATGATTTACGACCTTCCAAGTAGAAATACATAATTTGCATCCAGAATAAGAATGGTAAGAATGATGATTTAGCAATCCAATGAAGATTTGTTGTGCCTGCTGCAAATCCAATAACAATCAATCCTCCATAAGTTAAAAGAAGATATTTTCTTGCAACAAGGAAATTTTCATAATGTGGTGAAACTTATTCTGGTCCAATGAAGTTGTAAAACAATTCAGATGATTTAATCTATGATATAATATTTAACACTTACACCACTGAAGTTAACTGGATTATGTGGATTATTATATGGATGCTCGAATGCTTTACCTTGAGGTGCAACATTTGGTGCCTTATTATCTTTCTCAATAGCTTCACTACATGATTAAAGATAATGCTCTTACAGCTTTTGATTGAATTGAGTGACATATTCTGCATATTTGCTTTAAAATTTTAAGAAATTCTTTCCAGCTATATCCTTATGAGTAGCAGCTGCTGTAGCAAATCCGAAGTATCCCACTCTTCCTGAAGATTTTACCAAAAATTGCATCTTTTTTAAAATATTTAATATA